ACGAAGACTTAGATAATACCTCTGTAGTCAACGGCGCCTAAATCATTAAAAAGAGCAATCAAAAAAAACTTCGTTAAATTATTGGCATACAACAAAAAAAAAGTGTTGGACAGTTCATATTTGTAATATAGAGTGAAAACAATGGGAGCAACCAAAGGTTTTTGTAGTGTAATGGCCAATTGGGTCGACAATTTAAGAAGGGACTTTGTCATTATTATTTGACTTAAAAGACACCTCCCATTCTCTATTTTGATATTTTCTGTAGTCACAAGATATAATTAAGGGAAGACATCCTTCTCACTCTTTTTTTTCTTATTCCTTGCAAAGTAGGTCCACTTTTTTTTATAAGGATTTTAGGAAATTTCTTTTGGGTTTTAGTTTGTGTCTCTACCTATACAAATAGGAAAAGGGAATCGGTTTTGGAATCTCGAAAGTATATCTAAAAAAATGATAAATCTTTAACAAAGTTTGTGTTTCGTTAGTTAACTATACTAGATAAATCAGATTACATGTTGAAATTTTTCACAAATTTATGAAAAAACTACCTCCATAATCATTTCCCGGCCCGACCGAAACAATGCTTTTTCGTCTCCTGCTTATGAAAGATAAGAGCTTATTGCGTCTTTTTAATTATCAGCTTTTGAAATGATTGAATGACGTATGTGATTGATGATTCTCTTTGTAGTTTGTTCACATTATTGTTATATACTATAGTACTCTACTTGTGATTGATGGTTATACCATATATATTTTAATATCTGTATTGACATTATCGCAAAATATAATTTGATATATTTTCTAGTATATAGTTTTAAGAAGTGTTCACAATAATTAGCGCTATAAAACCTACTCTGTATGATAAAATCATGAAATTGAAAATACAAAAAGCTTGTCCTTCCAATTTATTTATGGTGAAGAAAAAACGAAAAAAGTTATGGACGCAATTATAAAGCTGGCGGGTAGAATTTGGCGGGTAGTAAAAACAGTCTAACCCGTGAAGTCTGTCACATTAATTTTAAGATGTAATTTTCTTTAAAAGAAAGAAAAATGAAATGGATAATGTGACTTTATGAATGAAATCTCATGTATGCATGTGACTCCACCATTTGTCTCTTTGTTTCCTCTCACAACAACGACAATAATTGTAAAAAAAACTTATGGTCGTCTGAGTACTGAGTACTAGTCGATTGTGTATAAGAGAAAGAAGACGAGAATAAACTTTCTTCTTTGTATTTCTTCTTTTCACACATTTACAATGTCTGCCCATGGGCATATTTTATACACTCTTTCTCGACACTTGTCTACATTGTTATCATTTCACAGTGCTAGGGATTTGCAAAGAATCAAAATCGATTGCTCAATACGAGGTTTAGTTTGATCAAAATCTTTTCTTCTAACGAGCAATCTGAACTTAATATGCTCTAGGTCATTAGGTGTGACTGACTAATTGTGAGACGACAGAGAGGAAAGTGACGTGGCTGAGCTCATTTGCATGGGTTTTGTATTTGTGTTGTTGATTTATTTGGGCTTGTTGAGATGTTGAAGTTGGGCCTGTAGAGTTGAGCTAGACTTCTGAAATTAAGACGAATGAATTCATCAATTCAACAATATAGTTATTTGACTTGCTTTGGTTTTCATTTAGAACAATTATAGGGGTGAACCACTTTCATTCACCCCTCTTAATTATCCAATTAGAATTTGTCATATCATCTAGTTAAAAAAATTAAAACAATTATTTTCTAAATAAAACAATAAGATTAAGTCATAACCACTCTTTTATAAACCCAAACCGATATATAATCTCGTTTAATTATAAAATCTAAACCCTAATTCTCTTTTGTAAACTCAAACCGTCATTTAAACTCGTTTAATCGTAAAAAATCTAAACCCTAATCGTACTTTCTAAACCCAAACCGACACTTAACCTCGTTTAATTGTAAAATATAAACCCGTTTATAAACCCAAACCGATAGTTAAACTCGTTTAATCATAAAATCTAAACCCTAATTCTCTTTTGTAAACCCAAACCGTCATTTAAACACGTTTAATCGTAAAAAATCTAAACCCTAATCGTACTTTCTAAACCCAAACCGACATTTAACCTCGTTTAATTGTAAAATCTAAATCCGTTTATGAACCCAAACCGATAGTTAAACTCGTTTAATCATAAAATCTAAACTCTAACCCTTTCTAATAAACCTAAACAGATACATAATTTCATTTTAGTGGCAAATTAAATTTTATAATTAAATAAAAATTTTTATTATTAATAGGTGGCAGATTTTGATTGGATGAAATAAAGGGGGTGAACATAAGAAGTTCACACCTAGGGGTGAACCCAAGTATTTTTCTTTCATTTATGTTTTACATATTTGCACGATGAATCGATTATTTGATATAGTTCCCAATATAGTAATTAGTAATATATTCTATGATTTAAAATTAATTCTTTTAATTTGGAGTAAAAATATTTTTTATTTTTAATTAAATCAGTTTAGTTTTCTATATAATTTGCTAATATTGTTTTAAATTTTTAGTGTCATATAAACAAATGATATGAAAACATCATTAACTTAACGATTTTGTAAAGTGATGCAAAAACATATATACATCATTGCAAATTTGCAATGCGCATGGCTATGAAAAACTACATTTCTTTACCCCACGAACTACGTAAGTAAATAAACATATCTTTTATATTAAAAGCTATCTCGTTTTATAGCTTTTCTTCTTTCTTAAAGATACAATATAAAAACCCAAAGAAACTGAGATCTTAAACCCAAACAAACCTTTTATTGTTTAAATGAAACAAGTAATTACTAAAGGTCGCAAACATGCAAGTAAACCACCGGTTACCAGAGATGTCGAGAGACTCTCACCACTCTATATTAATCACGCGGGACACTTGAAACCAGGTGGTGGATTTTTACCACAATAAGGAGAACTTCAAGAGCTATGGGGAGAATGAGGTCGATGTTGAGAAGTTTGGCTTTAATAGTGGTACATAAACAAACGGCTGCGTCTAGATCAACTAAACCTTCCAAAACTGGACAACACTTTTCCTTGGTGCTTTGCCCGATTCCAATGTGAACCAACCCTCCAAGAACGTCAACGCACGCACCTAGCTTCAACGTATTAATTGGACAAGTCTTTGGTTTAGGCATGGATGTTGGCGGTGTGGCAATGGGAGGAGCTGCGACGGGTGACTTTGCGACAGGAGGTGTTGCGACTGGAGGTTTTGCAACGGGTGGCGTTGCGATTGGCGGCATTGTAACTGGTGGCTTTGCAACGGGCGGTGTTGCGACTGGCGGCTTTGCCATGGGTGGAGTTGCCATAGGAGGCTTTGCGACAGGAGGTGTTGCGACGGGAGATATTTCAGTGGGACACTTAAAGCCAGGTGGTGGTTTTTTTCCACAACCAAGGAGAACCTCAAGAGCTATGGGGAAAACGAGGTCGATGTTGAGAAGTTTAGCTTTAATAGTGGTACATAGACAAACAGCCGCGTCTAGGTCAACCAAGCCTTCTAAAACTGGACAACACTTTTGTTTGGCACTTTGTCCAATTCCGATGTGAACCAAACCTCCAAGAACGTCAACGCACGAGCCAAGTTTCAACGTGTCAATTGGGCAAGTCTTCGGCTTAGGCATAGATGTGGGCGGCGTTGCGACAGGTGGCATTGCAATAGGTGGAGTTGCAAGAGGTGGTTTTGCGACAGGAGGACTTGCGGCTGGCGGCTTTGCGATAGGTGGATTTGCTATCGGTGGTGTTGAGATAGGGGGAGTTGCAACAGGAGGAGTGGCGACAGGTGGCGTTGCGACTGGCGGCTTCGCGATAGGTGGAGTTGCAACAGGTGGTTTTGCGATAGGCGGTGTTGCAATTGGTGGTTTTGCGACAGGCGGAGAAGCAACAGGCGGTGTAGCGACGGGTGGTTTTGCAACTGGAGGAGTTGCGATTGGCGGTGTTGCAACTGGAGGAGTTGTGATTGGCGGTGTCGCTACAGGTGGGATTGAAGTAGGAGGAGTTGCGGTAGGTGGCTTTGCAATAGGTGGTGTTGCGATGGGTGGCTTTGCGATAGGAGGAGTTGCAACCGGTGGGGTTGCTATGGGTGGCTTTGCAATAGGTGGTGTTGCGATGGGTGGCTTTGCGATAGGAGGAGTTGCAACCGGTGGGGTTGCTATGGGTGGCTTTGCAATAGGCGGGGTTGCAACGGGCGGCGTTGCAACAGGCGGCTTAGCGATAGGTGGAGTTGCTACTGGTGGCATTATGGTGGGCGGTGTTGCAACTGGTGGTGTTGCAACCGGTGGCTTTGAAACAGGCGGAGTTGCAATAGGTGGTGTTGCAACAGGTGGCTTTGCAATAGGCGGGGTTGCAACGGGCGGCGTTGCAACAGGCGGCTTAGCGATAGGTGGAGTTGCTACTGGTGGCATTGTGGTGGGTGGTGTTGCAACTGGTGGTGTTGCAACCGGTGGCTTTGAAACAGGCGGAGTTGCAATAGGTGGTGTTGCAACAGGTGGCTTTGCAATAGGCGGGGTTGCAACGGGCGGCGTTACAACAGGCGGCTTAGCGATAGGTGGAGTTGCTACTGGTGGCATTGCGGTGGGAGGTGTTGCAACCGGTGGTGTTGCAACAGGTGGCTTTGAAACAGGCGGAGTTGCAATAGGTGGTATTGCAATAGGCGGTGTTGCAATAGGAGGAGTTGCAATAGGTGGTGTTACAACTGGTGGCTTCGCTATTGGTGGCGTTGCAATTGGTGGGGTTGCTACGGGCGGCTTAGCGATAGGTGGAGTTGCTACTGGTGGTGTTGCGGTAGGCGGTGTTGCAACTGGTGGTTTTGCAATAGGTGGAGTTGCAACAGGCGGTGTAGTGACAGGTGGCTTTGTGATAGGAGGAGTTGCAATAGGAGGAGTTGCTACAGGTGGAGTTGCAACTGGCGGTTTTGTAGTGGGAGGAGTTGCGACAGGCGGCTTTGCGATTGGCGGAGTTGCTGTGGGAGGTACCGCAATGGGTGGTGTTGTAGGGTTCTTAGCTGCGGGGC